CTTGAACATGTTCTCGGCCTTTCTGTTTTGCGGTTTCACGATCGAAACTGATATCTTGAATAAACCACCTTTCCATGAATCCGAGAATGTCAGTGCCGCGCAAACACCTTGCCACAAATGGGCCTTCAGAGATGAAAAGATTCTCCATATCTCGTACCGTAATATGGGGGTAACGATTTATAATTTCCATGACATCTTTACGCGAACCATAAGGGTAATGTTCCATGGAGAGATCCATAGTGCAAATAAAGATTCGCTGCAGAATATTGTGTTGAAATATGAGATCAGATCTCTAAAACGTGGGTTCAATAACTTCATTTCTTTTGATGAATAAAAAAACCACAGATTAATACACTACTGCATGAAGTCAAAAATAAACCTAATTGTGGTTATGGTAAGAATACTAATTCAGAGATTAGATTTACCGGATTGTTTCGTAAGCCAGCGGTGAAGAGCGAAAGATTTTTTCTACACAGGCGATGCGATGAAGAGAGGGTTGGGAGCGAATTTTTGTTCTCTCACGTATTGTTCCGACACCTAGACCTTATCAAAGAAAGCGTGTACCGGTTGGAAACACACACCTACAATCTAAGCTGGGAGGAAGAAGTGTTTTTCATGTTCATTTTCTTTTTTCCCCTCAGATTCCTCCAACCAAACACAACACAGTGTTATGCTTCCATTACTTATTTTTCTCTTTATCATTTGTTCAGTTAAAATCACTCTATTCTTAAAAGCAGGGGAATTTTGCCCCTTGCTTTTCCCGCCCTTAGCACTACGTTTCTAGATCGTCGATTTTAATCTACATGATTTAATCTACATATACGGTATAATGATACCATTTTATTACATTCTATTAAAGGAAAATACGCAACAAAACACGTAGGTAATTTAATGCGTTGCTATTAATAATAGGGTTTTATAAAAGTAAAGCATTGATTACCTCAAATTCCTCAATGATACGGTTTTAATTATTTTAAACAAGGAAATGAAGTTTATAATTTTGAAGGTTATTAATATATTTAACGAAAAAGAAAGCGTGTATCGGTTGGAAACACAAACCTACAATCTAAGCTGAGAGAGAGGAAGAACTGTTTTTCATGTTCATTTTCTTTTTTCTCCTCAAATTCCTTCAACCAAACACAACACAGTGTTATGCTTCCATTACTTATTTTTCTCTTTATCATTTGTTCAGTTAAAATAAAGATAATAGAAATATTATTTTAAACAAAATAATAGAGATATACTACGTACATTGATAAGAACACAAATGAAAGAGAAGGATATCACATTTCAAGTTTTTCAACCTATAGAACCTCCATATATAGGCTTACAAACGTGTCGAACTTCACCGCCACAAACGGGTGCTCTCAGGTGTAACTCGGGCTATCCGCTACCTGTTTCCAGCCCACCAGACCGATCCTGGACCCGTCTGGTGGGACCGGGAGCGAAAAGTTGGGGTGGGCCTGGAAGAAGGTGACGCCATCTCCGCGGTGGTTTGGGTCGGGCGAATCGATGGCGAATGTGAAGTGAGTTGTGAAGTCTGAAGTTTTTCCTGTGTTTTTGTCCCATAGTTGTAACAGTTTACTGTATGTCACTCTTCCTGCACTGTCTTTCCTATATCTGTGGAATAGAGTCAAAATGTAAGATATTCAACCTTTGACACCAATAATATACACCGTTATGTCTTCTAAACACGTAAACTCAGATATTCACTATAATTATTACTGCGTATATGTTTATTTGCAAGACTCCTGATAACAGATTTGCTGTCATGGGTGGTGTCACTTCATGGATCTCGTAAGTACAAGAGCATAATAGATAAAAATTTACTCCACTCATTCTTAAAATTACTTTTTCTTTCATTTTATCCACTTCACTTTCTATAAAAACCACTTTTACCCCTTATTTTTTCATACCTTACCTATCACATGAGACTTTTTTTCTAGCCATCTATTCATCACATCTTACTTTTACCCAGGGTCAGCTCCAAAAAATGAAAAAATAAAATTGGCCTGGGCCTAAATTTATATTTGGGGCCCTATTTTATTTTTTAAAAATATTTTCCTTTAAAAGTATTAACAAATTAAAAAAATATGGGGCCCTAAAATTTTAGGGCATGTACGATTTGCCACTTTGCACACCCTCCGGGCCACCAAAGCTTTTACCAATCACACCAAGAGAAAAATGATGGGAAGTCAACTACAATTTAATACTCTGGGTACTTCCTTATTTTTACACTTGGTCAAATTAAAAAAAATAGAATGGAGGGAGTATATATATTTAGGGAGAAAAATCAAAACAGCACTCTTAGAGTATTAAAATACTTTAAATGGCAGTGCTATATGTTTCGTACATATGATTCCAATTTTGACCTTTAATTAAACAGCAAATGTTCATTATGCACTGCCAAAAAAAATATGATTGTTTTGGGTAGTATGGTTGTTCACTCGTAATTGTGTTGTGGGCAGTGTAGTTTTTTATATGTAAGTATTTAATGTGACAGTGTAGAATGAATATATGTTGTTATATCGTACGACAGTGTCTAAATGTATTATTGTGTTCCTTAATTTCATGTTTTAGTGTAATGTCCATTGATTTATGTGGCAGTGATTTCATGTATAAATTTTACACTGTCAAAAAGTGTATGACTATTTTTATGTATGAATTCCACATTGCCCAAAAATATGTATAGCTCTTTTTATGTATGAATTCCATACTGTTTTCATGTATGAATTCCACATTGCCCAAAAATGTATATGACTGTTTTCATTTATGAATTCCACACTGCCCAAAAATGCATGCTGATTTTATAAATAATCAACGCCTTAGTTACCATGACATTGGGAACCAATGTCATGGGATGACCTCGGGGCGCTCCGGTGCTCCCTCATCCCCTTCAATTGCAACCCACAAATCGAAACAGAAAAAAGGCCCTAAATATCTTTTATTTAATGGTCTAAAAAATTTTCATATGTAAACTAATTATATCTAAATTATAATTAACGCAATATTATTAAAAGAAAAAAATAAAGGACAAAATTAAAATATTATAATTACATACCGTAAAAGCTAGCCGAGGATTCGAGAAGTTCTCCTTGCATTCTTGAGAACAAATTGGTTGATCACATCTTCACAATCTATGTTCTCTAAGATTTCATTCTCGATAGCTATTACCGCCAATCCACTGAGTCTATCTTGGGACATTGTAGACCGTAAGTAAGATTTTAAGATCTTCAATTTGGAAAAACTTTTCTCTGCAGATGCCATTGTTACTGAAAAAGTTAACAAAATTATATATGCAATACAGGCATTCTGGTAACAACCTAGTTCTTTTAAATGCTTTAAAACATCTTTGGGATTGCTAAATTCACTGGTTTGAAATAAAATCCAAAATCATAAATTCTACTAAGTAAAATAAGGAATAAAAAACTAAAAAAAGCAAGCAAATAAAAATATATCATAAATTAATATCAATTCGTTAATTTTTCCTTTTTTAATTGTTTTTTATTTTTCAGTTTTAATTTTTTATAAATCATAAATTCATATTATTTCAACAATTTTTCCGTTTTTAATTTTTTTTGATTTTTAGGTTTTTTAATATAAATATATAATTATCTTAAATAACAAATTCAATATAATTCATCCAAATCAAATAAATAGCATATAAAACCATTCATTCATTCTATTTCAATGAATGAAATTAGAAAAGATTTCAAATTAAAAATTAATAACTAACCCTAGATTTTAAATCTAAATAATGAAACAATGAAAGAAAATTAAGATTTAAGAAATAAAAATTACAAAATTGGAAAGGAAAGGCTATGAATAATTACCTGGAGGCGTGGAGATCGACGACTAGGCGTTCGGCGTCCGGCGGTGAAGGCGGCGACTCAATCGGCATTGCATGTTTCGTCTCTGGACTCTGGTTTCTTCGTCACTTCCTGATTTTGATCGGCAATGTATTGACTGACTTCTTCTGTTCCGTTCTTTTTTTGGTCTCACATTGGTGGACTACTGTCTACTGGACTAGCATGGGCATGGGACATACATACATACATACATACATACATACATACATACATACATACATACATACATACATATATATATATATATATATATATATATATATATTACAAAAAAAATTGTGCCCCCTAAATATTTGGGCCCGGCCCGGACGGACACTTTGTCCCCCTTATGGGCCGGCCCTGATTCCATTAACAATTTTGTAGCTTCCACTCAAAAAAAAATTGGGCTTTGTTTGTATCCATACACTAATTTTCAAGATTTTTCGAATTCAATGCACCTTTTAATGAAAAGGTTCTTGAATTTATTGATGCGTGCAGAATGGATTGAGTGTCATTTTCTCAAACTTAGAGCATGAACAATGGCAAGGCAAAAATGGAATGCCACACGGTGACATGGAACATTTTAACCAATCAAAAATAGTCCAGTCAGCGTGTGTCAAGTGAATGGAGTGGCAAGTTCTACAATGGCAAGTCAATATTTTTTATCACTTTTTTACATTTTTTATGTTTTTTAAATATAAAAAAAATATTTTTATTACTTATTTTATTAAAAAATTATTCTACTTTCTTGTACATTTTTTTCATTAAAAATTTTAAAAAAAATTATTTAAAAAAAAATAGGGATGGAGTGCCACACTCATACCTCACAAAGCAAGGCATTTTGGACTTGCCATGCCATGATATGTGTGGAAGAAGCTGATGTGGCATTGCATGGCATGCCTCTTGCTTGCCATTGCACATGCTCTTAGTTTCTCCTTCAAATGTGAACTGATTCATTATTTCAAAACTCTTTAAAAGAATTGAATTTAATAGGGTCCTTAATTTTGTAGCACAGTTCTTTGTTTTTTTAGGGAATATGAGTAGTATGTTATAAGAAAACCCTATAAATAGGAGTAAAACATTAGGCTTATACCTAATATAGGAGTCCATAAGTTATATACCCAAAATAAGAGTTCATTAATCCTTTATTAACCTGCCTCTTTGGACCGATTAATCTCGGCTCTTTCTTCCGCTCCCTCTCTTAACACGACCACACCCACCATTCTCTCTCTCTTAGCATGTACTGGTGTGTTTTATTTCAAGTTCTTAGTCAACTTCTAGTGCTTTTATGTTTTTTTCATTTGTTTATGCTTCGATCATTTCTTTTTTTTTGAATTAGAAATGTTTAGAAAGAGTTAATCTACTTCATAACTAGAGGTTTTTTGAGTTTGATTTTTGTATGGAATTGGATTATCCAAGGTTAGCACAAGCTCTATATTTCTTTCTAACAGAGTAAATATTATATATTATGATTGCCAATATCCAATGACATGTTTGTTAGTATGCATTGTCATGTTTGGCGTTGTAGCTCTCTTTGGCATTGTATTAAAAACTCGTTTTCATTAGCAGTGAAACTGGAGCCTACAAATATTGAAATTGCATCTTCGTTGGGTTGAGGTTTTGTTTTTGCAATCAATTTTGTATTTAATGGTTTCTTTTTGTTAATTAAGGTGCTTGATTTTTGTTTCTAAGTTAGGCAAAATTTAGTAAAGTCAATTGAAACTTGACACTGAGAATTGCCAACCTTAACATTTTCACTTTCTGTTTGACATTATACAATTACATGTTCAGCCTTATGCATGGGCATGTTTCCCACTATA